TATAACTTTTGATTGAGATGAGATATGACTCTCACTTTTTACATGTACATAAATTACTCATAAGAATTCAAGGTGTTTCCCAGCATGCGATGTTTTTTTATGCGCCCGAATTTTTTCGGGGCGCATATTGTTTTTGTCCTGTCTGTTTGTCTGTTTATCTGTTTGTCAGTTTGTCTGTTGTCAAGTTTAACCTTGGCCAAAACTTTTGAACTGTAAGAGAGAGACTTCATATTTGGTATGCATACTCCTCTAATAAAGTTCTTTCAAATGACATCAAGGTCAATGACCTTGTGACCTTGACTGTGACTTATATGCTAAAAATAGGTTTTTCAACTGTTTGTCATAACTTTTGAACCATAAGAAATAGAGACTTCATAATTAGTATGCATATTTCTCTAATAAAGTTCTTTCAAATGACATCAAGGTCAATGACCTCGTGCCCTTGACTGTGACCTATATGCTAAAAATAGGTTTTTCAACTGTTTGTTATAACTTTTGAACCATAGGAGATAGGGACTTCATATTTGGTATGCATACTCCACTAAAAAGGTTCTTTCAAACAACACCAAGGTCAATGACCATGTGACCTTGACTGTGACCTTTATACTAAAAATAGCTTTTTCCACTTTTTGCCATAACCTTTGAATCATAGGAGATAGAGACTTCATATTTGGTATGCATACTGCACTGATAAAGTTCCTTCAAATGACATGAAGGTCAATGACCTTGTGACCTTGACTGTAACCTATATGCTGAAAATAGCTTTTTCCACTTTTTGCCATAACTTTTGAACCATAAGAGATATGGACTTCATATTTAGTATGCATACTCCACTAATAAAGTTCTTTCAAACAACACCAAGGTCAATGACCATGTGACCTTAACTGTGACCTTTATACTAAAAATAGCTTTTTCTACTTTTTGCCATAACTTTTGAACCATAGGAGATAGGGACTTCATATTTAGTATGCATACCCCACTAATTAAGTTCTTACAAACAACACCAAGGTCAATGACCTTGTGACCTTGACTGTGACCTATATGCTAAAAATAGCTTTTTGAACTTTGTTGACGCCGGGCGCATAGTATTTCACAAACACATCTTGTTACCCCTTGACGTTGATGTTTTACATAATTTTCAAAATATCTAACTCTCCTAAAAGATGATTAGGCTTCTGAGTAACATTAAGGAAGACTTCAAGGAAGACAGGGCTTTTTGCACAAAAAATATCATTTTCCGACCCACATTTGACCCCCCGGGGCAAAATCTAAATTCCAAAATCTTACTGCATTTCTACATGACCCCACCAACCATCTCCCAAAAGATGATTAGGCTGCTGAGTAAAATGTAAGAGGAGTTCAGGGAAAACAGGGCTCTTTGTATGAAAAATGTTATTTTTCAACCCCCATTTGACCCCCCGGGTAACATCAAAATTCCGAAACCTTACTGCACATCTACCTGACACCACCAACCATCCCCTAAAAGGTGATTTGGCTGCTGAGTAAAATGTAGAAGGAGTTCAGGGAAGACGGGACTTTTTGCACAAAAAATGTCATTTTTCGACCCCCATTTGACCCCCCGGGGCAAAATCAAAATTCCGAAACCTTACTGCACATCTACATGACACAACTAATCATCCCACAAAAGATGATTAGGCTGCTAAGTAAAATGTAAGAGGAGTTCAGGGAAGATGGGGCTTTTTACATAAAAAACATCATTTTTCCACCCCCATTTGACCCCCGGGGCAAAATTAAAATTCCGAAACCTTACTGCACATCTACATGACACCACCAACCATCCCCCAAAAGGTGATTTGGCTGCTGAGTAAAATGTAGAAGGAGTTGAGGGAAGACGAGACTTTTTGCACAAAAAACGTCATTTTTCGACCCCCATTTGACCCCCCAGGGCAAAATCAAAATTCCGAAACCTTACTGCACATCTACATGACACCACCAATCATCCCCCAAAAGATTATTAAGCTACTGTGTAAAATGTAATAGGAGTTCAGGGAAGACGGGACTTTTTGCACAAAAAACGTCATTTTTCGACCCCCATTTGACCCCCCGGGGCAAAATCAAAATTCCGAAACCTTACTGCACATCTACATGACACCACTAATCATCCCACAAAAGATGATTAGGCTGCTAAGTAAAATGTAAGAGGAGTTCAGGGAAGATGGGGCTGTTTGCATAAAAAACGTCATTTTTCGACCCCCATTTGACCCCCCGGGGCAAAATCAAAATTCCGAAACCTTACTGCACATCTACATGACACCACCAATCATCCCTCAAAAGATGATTTGGCTGCTGAGTAAAATGTAGAAGGAGTTCAGGGAAGACGGGACTTTTTGCACAAAAAATGTCATTTTTCGACCCCCATTTGACCCCCCGGGGCAAAATCAAAATTCCGAAACCTTACTGCACATCTACATGACACAACTAATCATCCCACAAAAGATGATTAGGCTGCTAAGTAAAATGTAAGAGGAGTTCAGGGAAGATGGGGCTTTTTACATAAAAAACATCATTTTTCCACCCCCATTTGACCCCCGGGGCAAAATTAAAATTCCGAAACCTTACTGCACATCTACATGACACCACCAACCATCCCCCAAAAGGTGATTTGGCTGCTGAGTAAAATGTAGAAGGAGTTGAGGGAAGACGAGACTTTTTGCACAAAAAACGTCATTTTTCGACCCCCATTTGACCCCCCAGGGCAAAATCAAAATTCCGAAACCTTACTGCACATCTACATGACACCACCAATCATCCCCCAAAAGGTGATTAGGCTGCTGAGTAAAATGTAGAAGGAGTTCAGGGAAGACGGGACTTTTTGCACAAAAAACGTCATTTTTCGACCCCCATTTGACCCCCCGGGGCAAAATCAAAATTCCGAAACCTTACTGCACATCTACATGACACCACTAATCATCCCACAAAAGATGATTAGGCTGCTAAGTAAAATGTAAGAGGAGTTCAGGGAAGATGGGGCTGTTTGCATAAAAAACGTCATTTTTCGACCCCCATTTGACCCCCCGGGGCAAAATCAAAATTCCAAAACCTTACTGCACATCTACATGACACCACCAATCATCCCTCAAAAGATGATTTGGCTGCTGAGTAAAATGTAGAAGGAGTTCAGGGAAGACGAGACTTTTTGCACAAAAAACGTCATTTTTCGACCCCCATTTGACCCCCCGGGGCAAAATCAAAATTCCGAAACCTTACTGCACATCTACATAACACCACCAACCATCTCTTAAAAGATGATTAAGCTACTGTGTAAAATGTAGGAGGAGTTCAGGGAAGAAAAGTGTGACAGACGGACGGACGGACGGACGGACGGACGGACGGACATGAGTAACAACAATATACCCGAACTTTCTTTAGAAAGTGCGGGTATAAAAACCTTACTGCACATCTACATGACCCCACCAACCATCTCCCAAAAGATGATTAAGCTACTGTGTAAAATGTAGGATGAGGCCAGGGAAGAAAAGTGTGACAGACGGACGGACGGACATGAGTAACAACAATATACCCGAACTTTCTTTAGAAAGTGCGGGTATAACAAATTATGAGATTTTATGTTATGCATTGTATTGCCTTACGGCGGACAGATGTTAACGTCAAAGTGTCTAAATCACATCACATTTCCTCTTTCTAACAAAAAATAGTGGATAAGTCCCACTTAAATTTAAGAATTTCACTGATGCACATACATGTACTTAAGTTTCCCTTTATTTCTCTATAAATAGTCGAGGAACCAATACTGCACACACATGGGACCTTCTGAAGATTTATTAGTAAGTTATGAAGCCCATAGGACTGTATCCTGTGCACATTCAAGCATATAAAAATCTTTATTTTTGTCTACCGGTATATTTTGTAAAAAGAATTAGAATACACTTAAATATGATAAATAAACATTTGCTGAAATTTCAGCTTAGTGCATCCATTATTTTCCAGAAAAACGCTTTGTCTACGATTTTACCAGACAACCCTCATACACAGCAACTGTTGCACACTAGGCTGTTAACCATATGATGCAATAAAAGTAAATGACCTTAAAGAATTTTACAACCAGCTTAACGAATAACACAAAATGACATTATTTACTGACATTTTTCATGTAAATTATGAATTCTAACAAGTAAAATTATAACTTTCTTTTCTTACATGTTAAAAATACTGTATATGCAATCTTTTTTCATTGAATTCTGAACATGCCTTTCAATTTGTTTACAATACTGATATTAAAGCCTTTAAATTTGTCTACAATACTGATATCAAGCCTTTAAAGAACTATATGCGGTATTAACCAACATTTGCCCCCCAAAATCAAACTTTGATGGAGTAATATTTAATTAAGTCCTTAAACAGGGGAGTATATGCTGACTTCAAAGCACTGAATAATTTCATAAGTAATGACGTCATATGTACGTAATGACGTCACAAATATGACGTAATTTCAGTTTTTAATGAATTTTGCAGAAAAATGTACATATTTCATCGATATTTTAAATAAAAGTCACCGAGCGCATGTGTGTTCAGGATAAATATTTTGATATAATGTGTAGAATGATAATATCAATGAAATATGTCAATATTGTTCCTGAACACACATGCGCTCTATAAATTCTAAAGCTTAAATTGTTGAAATTTTGTCCATTTTGTCCTCTTTCTGAAAAAGGATATAAAATCGGACTAGTTTGTGACGTCATAAAAACAGAAATTGTGAATACACTGCTCTGGAACTATAATATTTTCTGTTAACTTATATTTCTCGTACAATTTATTGAATTCAGCACATTTCAGGAAGTTTTCAAAATTTGACTTTTGTGGGGGCAAACATATGCAATATACCGCATATAGTTCTTTGTCTACAATACTGATATCAAGCCTTTAAATTTGTCTACAATACTGATATCAAGCCTTTAAATTTGTCTACAATACTGATATCAAGCCTTTAAATTTGTCTACAATACTGATATTAAAGCTTACTTTTGGAATTCTGGGTCATGCTCTTTAAGCAGCGTATCCAACTCCTCCAATTTATCTTCCTCTGCCTCTGAATCACTGTCAGCGTTCTCCGGGTGCTAAAAAAAAACAGCTAATTCACTCTACTGATAAAGGTGATACTTCCTAGAATTTTCTTTCTTTTTTTTCCTTGTTGAAGCATTTTGTATTTCAAGACAAGATAAAATAAGAGGCCCATGGACCAAAAGGCTCACCTGAGTAGTACCTGACCATGCTTTTCCTCACCAGATTTTCCCCCTTGTAATACATATTGGGCCCCAGTTTTTCTTCAGAAAAAGAATTTTTCTGTATATTTCAATGTAAAACTTGGTTTCCCTATTGTGGCCCCACCCTACCCATGGGGGTCATGATTGTAAGAATTCAGATTCTACACTAACCAAGGATGCTTCCACCTAAGTTTCAGTTTTTCTGGCCCTGTGGTTCTTGAGAAGAAAATGTTCAAAGATTTTTCCTACACATTTCAATGTAAAACTTTTTTTCCCTGTTATGGTCCCAACATACCCCGGGGGTCATGATTTTTAAC